CCTTAAACAACTTCTAATTATATATATAAAAATACTAATGAAGTGCAATTCCCTCTGGGATGGAAGGCCACATTCAGATTGACAACTGCTACATTATACACTGCCAAAAATGAATACAGAGCAAATTTTAACCAAGGACAAAGGGGCACACCACTGCTGTAATAATAATAAAAAAAAAGCACCATAGGAGCTTTTCTTTTAGCAGTATATTTCCATCTAGGCTCAAGATCAGCCTCTCTGTCTGCAAAGTCAATTTACGCCTACAGAATTCCTGCCAGCATTTTTCTAGCAACACTGTAACCCATGAGTGTACAACTGCATGGGTCATTCTCCATTCAATTTACATTCAGTCTAATAAACAGAGGGAATTAAAATATGCAAGTTGTGTGAGTTGATGAACTCACAAAATAAGGGCAATTACCTCTACATAAATAAATCTGGCAAGAATTTGGTTTTACATGGTCACCTAAGACACCTGCAGATGACAAAATATTCCAGTCATGGAGGAGTCTAGTCTGTAGCACTGGAATCACAGTCTGGTCTCGGGTAAATCATACAACCTTTCTAGTTCACCTTCTCTTTTTAAAGGATCTGAAACAATAACACACATTTACCTAGCTTCAAGGATATTGTGAGAATTAACTAATGCTAATGTAAGCATGCAAAGGACTGTATGGGGCAAACGATTTAACAGGTTTTGCAGAACAAAGATTTGCAATAACCTTGCTGAGTTTATAACATACTATTTCATGTAAGAGATTTTTTCTTTAAATGGGATGCCTGTATCAAGCTGGAATATGTTATTCTTTCAGCTGAAGAAAGTATTTTATAAGCTTTAATCATCTACCAGAAACTCTCACAAAATCTTCTCATGTGGCATGTTTAAGCTGCTAGGAAGCACACTAAGGGCAGCATGTAATCTGTGAGTAGAATATAAAGTGAGATAGTCAATTATTTTATTAAATGAAGTTGGTAACACTCAGATACTATTACGTTTTCTATATTTACTTTGCTTGCTTCTTTAGTTTTTGCTGTATTTGCTTTGGTTCCTGTTTGATTAGAAAAAAACCACAAATATTGTGTTAAGAAGTATTAGATGATTAGAGAACCCTTGCAGCCAAGTAAGTAGTCATTTAAGCTGAATATTTGACTTAATTATAATTAAATACTACAAACAGAGTCCTTAAAGCATAACTACAAACCAGTGAAAGGAGGTGATCTTACCCTTTCACTTACTCAGCAACTCTTCTGAAATCGTCTCATGTATCATCTCCTATTCTTATGTCCACATCACCAGATCCAGCATGTGACCTTTTTCCTTCAGCTCACTGATACAGGACATCTTACAGTTACAAAATGAGGTCTGAGACTGAAGTCTGTAGGAGCAGAGAGGTGCCTTCGCAGAGTTGTGGAATGCCCTTGAATCCTGCAGCTCACACTGAGGGAGGTCAGCAGATCTCTGCAGACATGGTTTCTCACCTAAATTATCAAGGAATATGCACTGGCCCAGAGACTGTACTGCAAGTCTGCACGCAGGGTAAGGGTTGGGCAGGACTGCTAAGTCAGAACAGGTTATCATGAAAGACTGGCTGAAAGAATATTTGAAGTCAACACTGCCTTGTCTCCCTGCAGGAGGGCTGTTGCTGGTGCAGCACATTCCCTGCTCAACTCCTACATTAAAGCTGCAGAAATATGACATAAGTTTCATTTCCTCACACAACTTGGGGAAATAGGTAAACTGCATCCAAGAGTAACTGCAACCACAGAAGCATCGTCCTGTTCCTTTCCACTTGCAAACATTTGTTGGTCACCTCTTTTCTATGGAGTCTCTGAAGCAGAACTTTCCTTTTCATCCCTCTGGTAAGTGCTTACCACCTCCTCCCTCAGCATTGCTCAAGTAAAAGGCTGCTTCCCAGACTCCTGCCAAAACCATCAGCTATGTCAGTGACCTTGTCACTGCTCTGTTTGCCTGTGATCCCCCATCAAAACAAGCATCTGCAGGACACTAAGTCCCACCTGCTCACATCTCTGCAAAAGTGCAGCCACATTATGCGTACTCTGAAATGGCAGCAGGACTCCTTACTTATTGCAGGATCAATAACTGCCTTTTTAGATTATAAAACACTTAATTCCAGTTCTCAACGACTTCTGACTTCCCCTGCCATTCCACACACTGTTATCACAGTTAGTCTCAAGACTTTTTTACCTTCTTTTACTTCCTCTTCTCTGCAATAGCTTCACCTCCAGGATTCTCCTTCTGAGGTCAAATCTCAGCTGAGAGGTTTTGTTTTAACCTTCCCTCTTCATTTCTTTTCTCTTCTCTGTTCATCCTCCTTAAGATTTGGGAAAAGTTTAGGAAAAACATTCTGTAAAGAAGCTTAGATTAAAAGTGTTATACCTAAATTTCTCTTTAATACTATCTGGGATAAAAATCCTCACATATAATTTGCTTATTTTTAATGTGAAAAAACTTCAGCAACTTCATTCACCGTGGAAGTTATATTTTAACCATGCTACCAAACTCTGCAGTATTTAACACACAGAGAGCAGTAATGAATATAAAGAAAGCCATAGCAGCAGTTTGGTATACATATGAGACAGTTGACTCAGAAGCCTGTAGCAGCAGCTCTCAGAAAAATCATGCATGTCAGCATTTCTTGTACTAAACTGTACCCTCTTTTGCATTTGAAAAAATAACTTAAGCAGTTGTCATGAAATTTATTATACCCCTTTGGAAAAACATTATTCTCAAGACACCAGTGAGCTCTAAGTCTTAGAAGGGAAAAGCTGTAAACCTTAAACTAAAGAGCTAAACTTCAGATTTGTCTGTCAGATGATTTCTATGAACTGTTTCATGAGAATAGTGTGAAAAGAACTGTTCCCTCTCAGTTCTCTGCAATTTACCATGCAGCCACTGCCACGCTACATTTGCTCTATCATCCCATTCTGAAACACTGAGCCAGTGCAGAGCTAAAGGTGTCAAAAAGTTTCCTCCTGCAATATCCTGCAGCACGGCACTGCAGCAGGGCAGTGCTGTGCCAGGAGGATCACACAGATTTGCTTCATGTTCCAGTGAAGTAACATGAACGGTCTGAATAATCTCCAGGTAATCTGCATTAAAACCATTTTACTGCAGTGTGCTGCGGTACTAGGAAAGATTTCAATATCGCACCACGTGATGCAACACAACCTCACAGCACTTGGCAGTTCCTAGGCAGTGATGGAAAGCTTTGAATCCATGGCTGCAATGTAGCAACTTTCCATTTTACAAAGTAATATGACAGACTATTTTGGCTCACTATGTTAGTGTACAGCACCAAGTGATACAAAATTCCTGGAATAAAATATTACAGACCTAAAAGCTATTTTTTTTTTCTTTCTTTACTTGCCCTCTGGTATCATGATGCTCTTTCAATGATAATGGACTTCCCTAGCCTTAAAGATACGGTAAAGTGTTACAATGTTATTATCTCAGTGATAAATAAGTTTCGCTAATCTATAGATTATTTTTCCTGTTCTTATTTAAGCTCCCACAGATACATTTCCCTCTCTGTCCTTGCAACTTGAATATTTTGTAATTTAACTTAAATTTACACATATGTTTTTCATATATAGTTTCATGGCAATCATATAAAGCTGTAACATTTCAATGTTATTCCAATATTTACACAGAGATTTTAATTATTTCTCTAAAGTTTTGGAAATGTTCCTCAGATTTATGTACTGACATCAAAGATGCATGAAAAGCACATGAATTTTGCCTTGAATGAACCCTTTTTCCCAGTAACACAGGCAAATGCAATATTGCAAAATGGTACCTGTATTTATTTTCAGCAAGTGGGTTTTTTTGTGCATGTTTAGCAGTGTTGAGGGAGTTTAGAACTGCATTTCCAAAGGCCTCTGAAACAGTCTTTGAAAGTCTGGAGTATCACAGTAACAGCTACAGAGGTAGCAACATAGGTGAACTCTTGTTATCATCTGCATTAGCAACCTGCACATGCCAGGATTTCGACGCTGCCTGCTGTGCCTCAGCTCCGGCCCGGCGCTACGCGAAGGGCACGGGCGATGACATTGGCTGCAGCGCGTTGCAGTTTCCTGCAGCGAGAGGGTCCCTGGAGGTGCTGCTCTGTCCAGCCCCTGCGCCAGGCAACTTCCCCGCGGCTTTCGTGCAGGACACGGCTGGGCAAGTGTGCAGAGCACACACGGCCCGGGGGCGAGGGCAGCGCGGGCACTGCCGGTGACAGCCTGACAGCCTGACAGCCCTCTGCGGGGCCGCGTCCCGGAGCGCTGCTCGGGCCCTGCCTTACACAGCTGTCGCCTAAACCCCGGCATCGGCGACACGGGGCAGCATCGCACGAGGGCCCTGGTCACCTTGTCAGGGTGGATCTCATTAACGCTTCCCCGTCCCTTCCCCCACCGCAGCTCTGCTATGAAACACGCCGCGATCGGCACCTCGGGTCCAGGGTCCTCTACAGAGCCCCTTCCCCCGCCAGCGCCCACAGACCTGGACGGGCACTCGCTGCCGCCCCGCGCCCCTCGGCCGAAGCCCCTCTTTCCCCCGGGGGTCCCCCCGTACCTCGCAGCAGCCATTTTCCGCCTCCCTCTGCCGCAGCTCCAGCGGTGATGTCACCGGCCGTCCCGGCCGAGTCCCCGCGCTGGCGGGATGCGCCGCTCTGCGATCCTTCCTCCCTCACGGCACCGGCGGCACCTTCCTCCTCCTCCTCCCGCCGCCCCGCCCCGCCGTGCCGTGCCGTGCCCGCCCGGCTGCCATGCGGAGCCCGGCCCCGCCCCGCCCGCCGGTGCCCGTGGGCGCTCCTGCTCTGCCCGCCGCGCTCCCCGCTCCCGGCAGCCGTGCGGGCGCCGAGGGGAAGCCCCACCGCAACCATCACCGCGGCGGCGGCTGCTGAGTCACGGCCTGAATCTCATCCCGCTCCTCCTCCTTCTCCTCCTCCTCCTCCTCCCCCGCGCCGCCGCCTCCCGCCCGGCTGCCGGCTCCAGCAGCGCGGAGCCGGCGGCGATGCCCGCCCCGCTGCCGGGGGGAGAGGCTGCCCGGCGCTGCCCGGCCCCCCGCCGCTCGCCGCAGACCCGCGCACGCACAGGGGCAGCCGGGCGCTTGAGCCATGATTGCCGCGGCTTTCCTGGTCCTGCTGAGACCCTACAGCATCCAATGCGCCCTCTTCTTGCTCCTGCTGCTGCTGGGGACCATTGCCACGATTTTATTCTTCTGCTGCTGGCACCGCAGGCTCCAGAAAGGGAGGCATCCCATCAAATCCGTCTTTTCAGGTCGCTCAAGGAGCCGAGGTAAGAGATGCTGCCGGTCCCCGAGGGCGGTGGGGGGTGCCCCCGGCCCACTCCGCGGTTTCTGCCAGCGGAGGGCCGCTCTGCCTCGGTTTAGCCGGGCAAAGGCTTTAAAGAGAATTCAAGCCGAGCCCAGGACTGCGGCAGCCTTGTCTCCACCCATCCCTTAGCAAAACGTCGGCTAGCGGGAGCGAGGTGAGGGGATGGGGAACCCCCCATCCCTGCCCGGTCTCTCAAGTGCAGCAGAACTTTATGCTGAACTTCTTCCCAATGAATTAAATATAAATGCCGGGCGGAGCTGCTGGCTGCGCCGGGAGGGCCAGACCCGTCCCGAAGTGTGCCCCAAAGGGCGAGCGACGGGGTAAACCCGTTAGCTGGAGCAAAATGCGAGGTGGAGCTGGTGGAGCCTGTGTGTCTTTCTGCTTGCCTTCCAGATGCTGTCATGAGAACTCATCACTTTCGCTCTGAGGTAATTTATTTAGCACGCAATTTCAAGGTCAGAAGTTGTTCTCTTTACCCAAGTACATATTGTCGTGGTCTTTTGTTAATGAAATCACATAGTGAACTTTTCATTTTGCATGAAAAACATAATGCCCTCTTTCATTTCTTGGTCTGTTTCTCCCCCCACCAACACAAAATGAGCTCTTCATTTGTGTTACCCTAACCGGCCTGCCGATCTGTGTCATTCCCAAAGGTATTGGTTACTTGCAGGAAAGCTGTGCTTACTGTGTGTGCCAGACCTCCCTCTATCCAAAAGCAACCCTGAGCCCAGTTATTGACTGTACTGTAAATACGTGCAGAGCTGGTCAGTTTTGTGGCTGCAGAAGCTCTTGTTTTGCCACCAGTCCTCACCTGCGCCCTGCTCTTTGCCAGGGAAGTTGCCTGCTTGGCTTAGATGTTGCCGTGGGAGATCCCAGAAGGATCCAGACTACAAGCCTGTTTGGCAGGCAGCTCAAAGTGTGACTTTGTATTCATAGATCGGGGGAATCAAAACTCTTACATGCCAGTGCTGAAAGTATAACCCAAACCCCAGTCACTTCCTAGGGATTCTGAATGAGGAGCATAATTACTGGGAAAATATGTAAAATAATATTTGGTTTAGTATCCACTTTGTTTCCACACTTCCCTGTAAAGCTCCTGTCTGGATATTTCTCTTGCCTGGCTTCCTGCTATTGATTTAAGGCATATCTTCATGCCATTGCCTCTTTTTCTGGAAGCCTTGAGAGAGAGTTTTGCACTAAAATGATCTTTTGTTTTAAATGATTTGCATTTTTTTCTTACCCAGCTGTAGGTGTGAAAATTACCCAGTTATGACTAATGTTTTCAAAAATGTGCATGGGATATATTTTTGCAATGTGGTTCATATTGGCAGTTAGTTTTTAAACTCTTAAGTATTTTGAAATTTGTACTCACTGTCACAAAAAGAAGATGACATAGGGAGTGTCCTATCTTTAAACTATGAAAAGCTCAGGTTTGTTGTTGACTGAACAGTGCTTCAGTAAAGTCAACAAACAAATGTGTCCCTCTGGAAATCAAAAGATTATTTTCATTATTTAGTTTATCCAATAAGAAATACTTGGTTTCCATGTAAAATTCATTCAATCCTGAGCCTAGAGAGAGGTGAAGTTTCGTGTGTTACACCCTTTTGAAATACGTGCCATCCTGCATGGTGACACTGAAAAGGGAAGTTTGCAGAGTAATTTATTTTTATTACTTCAGCATGTGGTTATTTGCGTATCACCCAGTCAGAAGTAGATGAGTTTAAAACATTTCCAAGAAGCTTCCATTTAGTGAAACATAAACCAATAAGAACTGTTATATTATTTCATAATTTTCTACATTTGTTTAGATAGGATAACACTGCAGCTAGTGGTCTAAACTGCCCTTTTAAATAAGTGGTGGAGCTGTTTTCCCCTTTATTATCCGATGAGACTTTTGATTCTTAAGAGAAAACAATGACTCATTTGACATAATTAAATTTTCATTTTCCATTTTTTTTTCAAGTAAAATGTTATTTTAATGAATCTAAGGGAATTGATTAATGAAAAAATTACAGGCATACTTCCATTAAAAATATTGGAAGCATTATCTAAAGCAGAATTTGGCATTCTCAATCTACGTCATCACAAAACATCATGCACTTCCAACTCCAATAAGATGTTGATGAAAGCAAAGGGTTATACACATGAAAATATGGGCTTTGCATACTCCCCTACCCCCCAAATGAATGTAACATCTCAACTCCAAGTTTTATAGCACAAGGTTCATCTGCTAGATCCCACTATGCTTAGTTGTTTGTCAGGTGTAGTTATAAATGGCGTTTCTTAATTATATAAAAGATAATGAAAATTGATAGTAAATAGCAGTGAGTTGGCATTCATCTCCTGAGAGCTGCGTTCAAATCTGACTTCCATCACATGTGAACGTGCAGGTGGTCTAGCAGCAGTGCACAGAGAATTATAATTGCCCTATCTACAGAACGGTTGGCAATTCCTGCATGATTGACTGCCTGCCAGGAAAGCCTTATATTTGGAAAAATAGATATGTGCAAATTTATGTTGAGATTCTTTGCCAGAGCCATAGCTCTTGTGGTGCCTGCCTTCATTGTCTATTATGCAGTGAGAACTATTGAATACCTTTCCTTTAGTACTGAACCCCCACATTAAAAAAATAAGACTCTATACTGGGAGAGTGTACATACAAAATTTGAAAATGTATTTATTATCAGCTCTCCTGTTTTGAATTTTATATGCCACTGGTGAATTGAATCCACAAATAGTTCATTTTTGGGGGGCTTGATTTTTAATGTCTCTGAAAAATATGTCTCATTATAATAGAGCAAGAGTCTATGCAGATTTTACTTATTATAGAATGAACTTAAACACTTGACCTCCTGCCTCAAAAACAGATAAATTTGCATGAATCATTATGAATATAAAGTAGGTTAAAGTCTGTCTTTGTTAGAGGTGCTTCATAACAGAAAAAATTAACCAGGAAGAAGATGTGAGAGTTTACTGAGATAATACACCTTACCACTAACACTTATTTACTACCATCTGAAGTTTTTCAGGTCTATTTTTTAGGTTATTTTTATTACAGTCCTTAAGTTCATTATGACTATAACTGCTCTTAAGTCCTACATCCCCCAGGTGCTATAGATATTCCATGAAGTCACAAAGGAATCACACCCAGAATAGTTAATGTTTCTAATCTGAGGAAGACCTAGATATGCCATTGCTTTAAAAAGAAAACAAGTAAATTTCCAACGGAAATATTCATTACTGCATGACACATCAGACTTTGAAGTAGCTGTTTGCACTATTCTTTCTTTATTTTGAAAATCAGTTGTAGAATGAAATGTCTGTTCTAAACAAAAATGACACCAAAATAACAATATAACTCAGTGAGAGTTTTACCCAAATAGGGACTCTGATCTATGGTTTGTATTATTATTATTATTATTATTATTATTATTATTGTTATTATTATTATTATTATTATTATTATTACTATTATTAACCCATGTATATTAAAAATATTAATGTTATTAGTGATGCACTGATTTAATTTTTTTTGTGCTCTCTGTAGAAGTTTGATTTCTCATGAATTAGAAGAATTTTCTTTGAGTACTTTATGGGCTTGGGATTGATACATTTCAATGTTCAGCATTTTACACTTGTACCTTTCAATTTAAAAGCATTGCTTACTGTGTTGGTGTTGCCATTTTTGTGATTTAAATTTCTTTCTGAATTAGTTTTCCTTATTGTTGAAGCCTCTGGACTCATGGGATTATGTGAGATTTTTACCTTTCAATTAAAAAGGAAACAAGCTTCTAGTCCTTAGGCTGGAAAGAATTAATCCAAATTATACAATTATTAATATCTTTTGATTTGGTGGTAGAGAACTGTGAAAAAGGAAGTTCCTCATTCAGGATCTAGAAATGGTTGGGGTTTATGAGACTGTGAAGGGATAATTTTACTAATTGCTAGACCAGAAGTTAGTGGTTTTCATGTTATTGGGGAAAAATGTCTTTTGCCTGAAATTTTCTCTGACTTTTACAGTTTTCCTTTATCTTACCTTTTAAAGAAATACTGTGATCTCAGGAACTGAAGGTATCAGTGTCAATGGGTAGTCATGAGCAACATGGTTTCATTTTGTATTTATTTAATTTTGACTCATACATTTTGGGGCATTTTCCTGTGAATGCTTCCACTGAGACCTACAGGTATAAATCCTAGGAAACAAATCCATAGAAGTTTTAGAGCCCACTGTAAATCCTGACTCCACATAACTCAGGTGGGACTAGACAAACCAGTAAGGCAAACAGGAGTTGACACTTTATGAAAAGACTCTTTAGGAAGGCTGGCAGCATGTGTTAACCACAGCTGTAGCAAATGAATAATATTTGGTAGTTTGAGTTTTGCAGACCCCACGTTTTCTTCTTAGTACACTGAACGGTGCCTACAATGTTATATGTATTCGGTATATTGTTGTGACAAGACTGTAGTGAAATAGGTCAGCCAAGACTGATGATAATTTTTAAGAGCAAATGGATTTTCTAAATCATCAATTGTGGTACAATGGATGGAAAACTATAGTACAACAGTCTCTGGGAAATGAATTTATTACTTTGCCCAGAAAAAGTGTTCATGAATTTATCCGTAAGCATACCTTTGCCATAATCGTCCCCCTTCTGAGGCTGATTGTGAGACAGTTGCCTAAAAATACAGTTCAGATATTCTACAAAACAATAATGAATAGTCTTTGAAGAGTTGCACAATAATTCATCCTGAGCATTGCAGCTATTTATAAACTGCTCCAGATATGTACAGCTCCAGTGAAAAGAGAAATCGGCAGACCCTCCAAGCTGAATTTGAGTCTTCTGTTTGATTGGAGGGAGTGCATTCAAGGAGCACCAGAAACATGCAGGACTAGCCAGAAAAATACATTCATTCACCTATTGAAAGGATGTGTCCTTGTCTTTGCAGAGCTGAATTAGCCTGAAAATACTTTACCTTTGTGTTTGACATGCTTTCCCCCCAGGTTGTTTAAACTATTTTTCCATTAGCTGTCTAAGAGTTAAGGAACAGGTTCAAGGGAAAAGAAATTGTTTTCTTAGATGTATGAAAGCACTTATGTACAGGAATGAATGGAAGAATGTACAGGAATACATACAGGTTATACTGTATAAGGACAAATCCTTCTGTCTGTTTTTCAGTAACATGTCCAATAATGTGGCCCAGACAGGGTATGTCACACTGAGCTGTCACATGACAAACTAGGTATCACTGAGATTTGGCTTACTATATGTCGTCTGTCCATCACTTTTTGTCAGCTTTAGTCAGTGCAGTGCTGCCTTTAGATAGCCCAGCAAGCATTGGTCTGTGCTGAGGAACAGCCTGTTTGGTAATTGCATCACAAAATATGGCAATTGCCCAGTTGCTGCAGCAAGACCACTTGGGTTCCTGA